AACCAGTTCTGGCACTGGCGTACTGTCAACACACCTTCTCCATACACATCAGTCAATTTCTTTCTGGCTTGAACAGCATTTTTACCCTTTCTGTAGTAAAACAGTAAGATATGTCGAAAATGCTGCTTATCGCTCTCCATATTTAAAAGGGCACCAACCAAAAACTACTGCGTAGAATTAATTGGAATTTTTCACACACAAGCCTTGCTATATGAGCTCTCAAAGCATATAAAAATTATACGGCTTAAATGTGAAGTTGGGTGCAAAAGAATACAATTAAATCCTATGTCGGGAAAAAACGAAATGACTTTCCGAACAACCCTATATATTAATGTTAAAAATTAATTTTAATTATTGACCATTGACTAAGAGAGGTGACAATTATAACAACGATGAATCGTACTTATTAGGCTCCGGGTTCGATTCCCGGCGAGGGTGTGACAACAGTAACAATTTTTTATTAACTTATAGGGGACAAAATTTAATATTTTTCACATCAATATTTAATATTAATTACTATTCAACTTCAAAGTGTTTCATATAGTGAAGTTGTAGCTTCATTTTTACAAAACCTACGGTATTTTGCATATTACACGGTTGAAACCCTTTAAGATCTGTTAATTCGATTAATGAATTTTCGTTGTCGCCCTTGTGGGCTGCGAAACGGATGGGGGCGCTCAAGGGGTTGGCGAACACAAGAAAAAAAGTACACAAATAAAAACAGACAAAGGCATTAAAGAATCGTATAATTCACTTACACCAGGCGTCGTGGCTTGTGGTCCGTATGGAAACCGAGTCCATTCTAATTTTTCTTCGCTCGTAGTATCCAAAAGGACAACTGGAACAAAAAAAAGAGAGACCAAATTAAATAAGCACATTGGAGAAAGCCATAAAAATTGCAATATAAAGAGTTTATTTCGTACTTAAAGGGCGTTGAAGCAGTCGGGCTGTAAAAAGGGTAAATTAACGAATTGTGCATCATATTCATCATGAGGAATGTACTTAATAATAAGACCGCAAGTACTTAGTGACTAATTGTAAATGATAAATACGAATCGATTAAAGAAACGTTACTATTTGACGTTTTAACAAACAAGGCAATCAGTCGAAATGACTGTGAGCGACACCCAGGAATTATGTTCAGTTTCCGTTTTCGATTTTTTTCAACAATCGGGGCATACCAGAAAGAGATAAATTTCTTCTGGAACAAATGGAATGATTCACGTGTCATAATATGTAACACGCCGTATCTCCTTATTTATCTGCCTACAGCTAATACGTACGTAGAACGGATTCTATCCAACCTATCATTTGAATAATCTAAAAGTGCCAAGATGAATCACATATCTAGCGAAACGTTTAAAGAATATTTTTCAACTTTCAACTTCGTCAGTTTAAAAGTCGGGTTTGGGCTCGCCAAAATCTTTGCATTTTCCCAAATATGCAACATACAAGTACATCTTCCTTTCTCTTCTTCCAGAGCGTCCTCCTTCCTCCTCCTTAACCATTCAAGAGCTCATGATTGATTTCTACTTGACCCTGGGAAATACTTTATATCATGCCCCTATCGCTTTCAACATCATCCTACATATCGAAAATCGACAACTTCTTTTTTTGAAGCCTTTCGTTCTAATTTTATACGAAAAGACAAACGGGCATTAAATAAATAATGTACATTTTTCGTTGTCGTATGTATATGTAATATGTAATCTTCTATCGTAGCATTACTCATTTCGAATAAGTACCACAAAGATTTATGGCAGCAGTTCTGCCTCGAACAATAGAAGTCATCTAAACTGCACGGCCGCCATGGGACCACTAAAGCTACTATAAATATTCAGCGTCTAGCTTCAGATACACCAAATCCCATGATTACACTTAATTTTCTTGTGTCACTTCGGAAAATGCGTTTCCACTTTCTCAAAACCCGATCTGATACCTATGTAAAAAATGCTTCCAGAATTTCTTGGTACAAAACTATTACTTAGGATATTAGATGAGAAAACAAAATATCAATTTTATAAGAGATGGATATTGATTAATTCGACGTTGGGTGAACATTCTGTGATGGAAATTTTAGTTGTTTAAGAGGATTCATGTCTAGGTGTAGTAAACAAAAGTCAAGATAGAGAACAACAAATTTTGCTCGAAGAAAATCCATGTTAGACTCGACGATAGCGAGTTACACACCGAGTAATATCAATTCGATTGCAGAAAAAGGGAAAAGCACAAAGGAAGGAAAATAGTTTCCTAATAAACTATCGGAAGAAAGCAACCAGAAAAGTTAAAGAAAACGTCGACTTTCTCCTTGCAAATCTATGGAGAGAGGGTAGTGATTGATGAGGAAGCTGAGAGAGTTCAAGTGTCCTATTCGTTGTTTATAAGTAATTAAGCCTTTTATTTAAAGATTTTTAGCTTCTGATCTATCTATCTTATACGGGGGTGGTCGGGGTGATGTTATAAATTGCCCCTATCATTTGGTTCCCAGGTCACGTTGTTGGAACTCAATATGCCGGAGCTGTTGCAGAAAGGTGGAGACCCCAAGTCTCGGCGACTTTGACGAACTGATGGGGAGACCAAAAACCACCCCTCACCCCTGTCTCTCCCTTTCGTTCTATACCTACCCGATAATTTCCACACGACTACATCTTCGCCTAACCAAACATGTCCAAAATTTCGCAGTTTCATTTATGTGCGATGTTATTAGAGGGGAACAACCGCGTATTTATTTATTTTCTTCTCGGCCTCTGCTCGTCCTCGAACAAATTGCTCATTAACGTCAATCTTCAACCCCGTTTTCGGCTATCGAACGATAGACTGGCGCAAAAACTTTTTAATTACTATTTCCCACTGCGGACATCATTACCGTCGATTCTATGTTATACCTGCTGATGTAATGCGCTGGGTGGCGTTCTCAGAATTTGTGACATTTACAAAGGATCTAAAGTGTTGAGAGTAATTTAAGCGAAAGTGAACGAAAGTAATGACAAATTCGTGTACTTTTTAAGTAGTCACATGTTGCAGAAGTGGGTTAATTGTCTTGTACCTTGTAAACTGCAGTCGTACGATGCTTATCGCACTAATTACACAATAAATGACACAAAAACGACCCAAACAATTTCCCATTCCATTTGCAAAAGTTAATTATTACTCAATTTACTTTTACGACTGGTTCTGAATCGCTCGTTTCTTTTTTTTGGTTTAGGGTGACGAGAATTGTTTGTCAAAACAACAACAAATTTGTTTACGTACAAAACCGAAACCTGTCCATTATTTCTGTGAGTCTAAATACTCATGTCAATCAGATCCATTGTGTCCAACCTCACATGCATGTATCGGGGTTCGTCCTCATCATCTACACCGCTGGGCAACTCCATTATCAGGTTGCCCGTGCACCGGTTTATCGTCGTCAGGCCACATCAACACTCAAAAGAATTATTTACCCATGGGCACATGTGTATGTATTAAAGTTTTTTGTGTGTGTGTGGTGCAGGGTGTACCGTGAAGATACGAGCTAATCCTGAGTTGACTTCTTAATTATCGTGGAGTGCCTGACGATCGCTGGTACGCTACCAATCGAAAGAGTAAAGTCATGTTATGATAAGGAAGCTACCAGAAGATGGTTCGCTACAGACGTAAACAAAGACAACCGATTTTACCACACGTGGTTTCATGGAAGCCCGTGAAGGATCATATCAGACAAGAAAGAATGGGTTAGGGACTCAATTTGAAGACAGAAGACCTGTGTGCCTGCTACAATAGATTAATATAAAGCTAATTGCTGTATTGTTATTATTTTTCTGTTTCCACTTGATCTCCGAGAGTTGCATGTGGCAATTAGTACTTCGCTATGCAATTTACTGCATACCATTTTGCTTTAGTTTGATAGATAGAAGAAGTCGACGGTTCTCACAGAATAAGTGCATTTGAAGTTTGTGTACGTACATCTTCGAGTTCTTTTTTAATTTTTTTCTTAACGTCACAATTAAATAAATCAGCAGAGCAAAACTGGCAAATTGCCAACACACTGCAAAAGGATTAATTATTTTCAGTCATTTTAATTATAATAGAGGTTCAATATAGGGAGATTCATAACGTTTTAAGGACTGTTATTACTAACTAAAATAAATCAGTCTAGTGACGACTGAAGATATAAAACGTCTTGTAACAATTAACCAGAAAATGAACGGTGAGTACGAATTAGGAAACAATTCTTGCAACAATCAAGATTATCTTTTAATTTACTTCGCAATAATACACATTCCGACATTCCCCATGGTGTAACTCGCTGATTTATGGCGCCTGATAACTTGATTCGCACATTTTTTCCCTCACCAACAAACAAAACAATCGATTAAAATAATGAAATCCTTGACAGCACTCTGCAATTGTTTCAAAAGAAACAAGCGAATAAAAAACGATTGTTTAATAAATAGTAAAACGTCTTAAAATTTTGAAATTCTACAACATATGGAGTTTGTCGTAGCTATTACATCTACACGGTACCTAATTGAGGACATACGTTTTTACGTTTAAAGAAGCCAAGTGTCACTGCTAACAGTTCCCGGGTTCTTTTAACAAAAGTTAAATAAACACAAGTCCGCTTTTACGACGTGTTAATTGAGAAGCATTAAGAAAACTATTTCTGTCACCAACTTCCAATATATGTACACAAATATGATATGTTACTTGTCGGTTTCGGATTCTGTTTCACTTAAGATTTTTCTCCCGATGGTAAAAACTATCAATAGAAACAATAACAAACGCGAATGAAAAGTAACAGTTCCTTTTCATTGGACAATTATTATTATCATCAAAAACACCAGCCACTAAATAAATTAAATACAACAAGCATTCTAACTAGGCCTAATAAACGATTGGAAACAAAAGACATCATATGTATAATAGATTCGTTATTGTTTTCGTCCGATTGTATTTGATTTTCCTCTTTGGCAGAAACTTATTTTTGTTAGTTCTGGTTCGTCGCCGTTTTACGTGTTAGCAATTTTCCTCGACTGCTTGGTATCGACCGGGCAAACCCTTGGGGAAATTCCCATTCTTTACCACACATCGCCCTTAGTCCGTAAGGGACTTATCAGCCTCACCTACAGGATATTCATCCACACATCTAACTGCTCTGACTTGCAAACTCGTCTTTCTGTTCAAACACTTGCACAATCGATCGAAAAACGCGCCTTATACAAAGATAATTAGCTGCCTACTGACAACATCGAACACTTTGATAAATATGTATAATCCTATACATAATTTTCACATTTCGATCGACGTTTACGTCGATAAGCTACATATCTGACTGTGGATTTTGTATGTATAACCTTTTTGGGATTAGTCAAACAAAATTGTGTTAGAAGTCCTGAACTTCATCGGGAAAATGACAAATCTATGAAAGTGCGCCTAGATATAAGAGCAAATACTACCAATATTTGAAAAGAAGGTCACTAGCAAATTGGTTAAGAATCCACATGCTTACACTTCAGTTATTTATATATCGTGTATCGTCTTTCGATGTTATTTTTTTCTTTTTGTGCCTGGTTTAAAATGACTGGCACAGGTAGACGCATAACAAAAAGAACGTCGATCAGAAATGGGCCATCGACTCAATTCGAGAAGATGAATGACTGAATCTAATTATATTAAATCTAAATTACATAGCAAAAGTATGGTACCGAGAGAGAGCAACATCCCGTTTTTCTTTCTCAATAAAATCCAACGGTTCTTTTGCAACAAATACTGAACAATATCGACTACAAAGAATCATAGTATTATAGAAAAAGGAACCACGTATATTATTATTATTATTACTATTATAAGAAAATA